TGCATGTGATAAATGCAATAAAAAAAACCCCAAATGCCAGTGTTAATTATGAAGCGGGACAGGTTAGTCTTCACCTGGCGTCCTTCACCACAAACACTAAACTACTTAAAAGAAGCAGAGCAGCACGAGATCTGCCGACACACCGAGGCTGGGTGCCCAGGGCTCGCCCCGACGTCCAGCCATCCGCACACAGCTCTGCTTTGGGCAGGTCCGAGTCCAGAAGACCAAGATAACCCCAGATTAGACCTCTGGTTTATTACTAATCTGACAAACTAATCTCACCCTACCAGCTGCAGAGCCGCATTAGTTATTCACCAGGGCCATTTCCTCAGCAGACTCACCCAGGGCCTTAGGAAGGTACGGGTGGATGAAATCTGACAGCAAGTGTGGGGCACTGGGACCTACCGAAACATCTCCTGCTTCGTTATACCTACACCAGAACCAGCTGGGCATGAGATGGGCTGAAAAAGGGTGAAGACTTCTAGCTGAGAGCATCTGTCTCCTGGGAGAGAGGATCAAACAAGATATACTGAGCTGCCCTTGGGGTTTGTAAGAGCAGCCCTGATGAGATCTAAATGGATCTTACCTTCATCTTCTTTACTTTGCTGAAGCCAAATCACAGGGAAACGGGCAAGTACAAGCTTTTCAGGAGGTCAAAGAGGACTCTCCCACCCCACTAACCCACTGCCTGGCTCTTCAGAGCAGCACGACCCTCCCCTGCTCTTCAAACCTTCCCGTTTCTCCATCAGCTGAGCAGCAGAAGGTGGCAGCAGGAGGAACGACTGCTGTTCTGCAACATCCAGTGAACCCAACTTGACTTCACAAAGACGAGCCTCCTGCACCAGGGGCTCAAAATGCCAGCTGCGACTCTGAGCCGGCTCCCACCAACTTCCTAGCAAGGGCACACTTTAAGTTTTGCTCCCATCTGCAAATATTGTTCCCTACATCATGGGGCCAAACAGCATAACCAGGCTGGAAAACTGGCTCTCGCCATCTCTTCGAACCAGAACCAAGACAAACGACCGCCTTGCTGCAGCTGTTTATTTCCTCCAGCTGCGATGGTTTGGTGGGAAATTGTCTCCAAAAATAAGTTTTTTTTAAAAAAAGTCTCCAGCCTCCACAGGTACAGATAGACAATAAAATGCTTTTGAGAGCAAGTAACACAGAAAACCACCAGTGCTGAAGTGAATTATCTACAGCCAATGCTAAGATTTGTCAGAGGTTTCAGCAACCCCTTTACAGCTAACGATAGCTAGAGTGGGAGACTGGGCAAATTGAGACCTGTTGAAGAGAGAAACTGGAGGGTCTGTAGGAGCAATTCTGCCACCAGGCAGTTAGAAAAACATGTACAGGGCCAGCTGATATCTTCCCTGTGTTACATCGGTGGAGAGTGAAAAAAAACCATCATGACTTAACAACAGAGACCATGGGAAGAGCAGCCTGTCAGGGTAGGGAAGGTGGAGCTCCCACAGCCTCAGCAACGTCCGCCAGCAGCAGGATTGAGTGTTCACAAGCCAAAGGTGTGGGACAGCCTCGAGCAGCGTGCTCAGTTCTCCACGCAGTCCATGCTCGGCTCTCCACACGGTCCAACCCAAGGCCTCCCAGGTCCTCGTGAGGTCTGACCGAGCGCCTCTGGCCAGGTTGTCCCATGTGCATCCTCGTGATGTTCCAGCTGTGCATTCCCACAGGCATCCAAAACCTGGAGCCCCACAGGAAAGCCCTCTTGGCAGTCCTGGGTGGCTGGGGCACTCCCTGAACTAATGGCTTCAGCATCATCCCATGTTTCATCAGGCCTGCTGCACACATTGCAAGATCACCTCTCCTCCCCGAAAAGAAACCCTGTTCAAGCTTATGCACAGGAAAATTACTTTGTGAACTTTTACCCCTCCATCCCACCCAAGACAATGCTCAGGTTTCCCCTCACACCTCCCTGCCAGCGCACACTGGCCCATTCCACAAAGCCCAGTGTCTCCACATCTCCTCTATGGAGCCTCGGTCATCCTCTGTGCCCACTCCTGGACATGTCCACAGCCCACACTGGAGCAGAAGGTACCTGCGAGACCAGGCTTGTCACCAAGTGTCTACACACCAGCATCTGCCCTTTCCAGCCGTTATTTTCCCACGTTCATTTATGAGGAGGAAAAAAAAAAAAAAAACCAAAAAAAACCCACAGCTCCCAGAACATCATTTCAAGTGTGAAAAGACAGAGATGTACGGTTGCAGGGATTTCAGCCACACGGCTGCTCGCTCCTGAGAAAAGGGTCACCTTTAAAAATGGAAACTTAATTAAAGACCATAAATAAAATCAGATTGGTCGCGCTGTTAACTCAGGAGCAGTTGGTGCTATTTGGCCTAGCACAGATGAAGACCAAGAGCTGCACGTGATTTCCAGCGGCCACGCACACCGCCCCGGCTTCCCACCGCTCCCCAGGCTCCTCAGCCAGCAGGATTAATCACATTCAATAAGCACAGTAATTAGGCCTGCTCTCGTGCTATATTGCACATGGCTATCTCGGATGGCTGCAGAAATACAGCAGCTGCTTAATGTATCCTAAGTGTCATACTTCAGATCAACACCGGGTAAACTCTTCAAACTCCTCATGACTGCTAAGCAGGAAGGCTCCAAAAAAGGAGGATGGTCTCCTGAACTGGGAAAACGGTCTCTTATGAAAATAGTGACTCATCTTACTCTGAATAAAGGTAGAACATGCTGTGTTAACATGCATACTGCTTATTTACAGCCATGTTTTCTGCCAGAGAAGCCATTATCCACTCCAACATTCCTGCGTTAATACAGAACCTTGCTCTAAAATCCTAATGCGTATGAAAAGTCAGAAAAAACCATTTCCTTGATTTTTCAGACCCCTCACCCCACTGGCACCTGCCATTTAACACTCAACCCAGTTTTTCTCACTTCTTTTGCAGACCAAAATACACATAGAAGAGGGAAAAAAAAAAATCTAATCCTTGTCACCTTGCCAGGACATTCCTCTGCGTACGACTTGTACCAACAGCAGATCCTGAAATGCTTCTCTTCTCTCCTGCAGTCCCGTTGGCACAGCCACCCGAACAAGCTAAGGGGAAGTCTGTGGATCCTTCCAAGAAAAAGCCTGCTACCAAAAAAAACCATCAAGGGAAGCAGCACATTCCTGCAAAGACAGACAGAGCCAACTTTCCCTATAGCAACAGATTCAGAGTGGTTCAAGTTTTCCTTCCTTCTTCCAAGCCAGAATTGCTGCATAGGGAGTTCAAGTCTCTACCCATCCACCAAGGGGTGATGACGACTCTCGAGGCTGATGAACTTGGAGAAGGGCAGTCTGCGACTCCCCAGCATCTCCGGCAAAACTGGGATGCAAGAGAAGCAGGAGGCACATCACCCCTGAGGGAGGAGACCCCACGATGGTGGGACACATCAGCAACTGGTTCTCCCCACCCAGCCTGAGCCACCAGGCTCACCTGTGGGAACATCCAGCTGCCTGAGCCTGACATTCAACAAGTTTCTTGCTCAGGGAGACCCAAAATGTGGGACCATCTCAGCACCCCATTCCTTCCAGCAAGTTACCACTCAACAGCTTCACCACTTATTCCCTTTTCACTGGACCACCACCCTGGTGACTACAGCAAAATGGCAGCCAGGAGACACAGAAAACCTGCGAAGACGTAGGAAGACCACCTAAGAAATCCCAAATGATTTCTGCAGGATTTAAAGCATCCATGGGGTCAAGCCTCAAATACCATGTGCAAAGACAGCCTGCAGAGCCTTTAGAGATCTGCCCAAGGTGACGGCAAAGACCAACTGGGGGACAACCCCCCAAAACCAGCACAGAGTAAAGCGAACCCCTGCGGTTTCCAGGAGAGGAGGGCGAACAGCAGTTGCCCACCAGGTAGGTGGGCTCAGAGGAACCAGGACTGAGCGGCCCAAGGGCTGAACCACGCTCTGCGGCTGCAGGCACTGTTCTGGATCAGCATGAGGCACGGTGAGGGCAGGGCAGAGATGTCCATCTGGGAACACGCACAGGGCTAGATCTCCAGCGCCGTCAGTCTGCCACATTCCACTTGCACCAGATTCACAAACTGATTTCTTTAAGGAGAGGAGTGATCCTGGAAGAGCATTAGCCACCACAACCAACAGCAGACAGGCTGCTTCCTCTGAACACCCGAAGCAACGGGGGACTGGAAGGGTTCCTCTCCACCGACGCTTGCTTCAAGGGGAAGATTGTCTCACACCCAGCCTGACTGCGTGCCAGGTGGGGTATCAGGCAGGCAACCAAGGTGAGGGTCTTCCTTTCAGACAGAGCACACCCCTGTGCTTCCCCCTATATACCCCCTGTGCCCGTGGTGCGGACGTTACTGGTTTGCCTTCGGTTGCTCCCTCCTCCCCAGCCCCTCACGCTGAGAGCCAGCTGCCTCTGCTCAAAACCATCAATCCCAGCCCAGGAACAAAGCCAAAGTGCTTACAGATGTGCCCGGTATGAACCTGCCAAGAGGACTCAGCTGCAGAGATGGCCGCTTTCACCGCCCTTCCTGGCCCAGGCTTTGCTCTGCGCCAACCAGAGCTATTTTTGGGGTGGGCATCAATGACCAGCCCAACCTGCTCCAGAAGCTCCAAGGTCTTGGCCCTTGAGCACCCGAGGAACCCTCAGATGAGCAAACAAGCACCCAAAGGGCTCCATTTACAACACATCAGGTACTATATCAGAGCAGATCCTCACACCACAAAAATGAACAAGCAAGGCCCCCTCAGGATAGATTTTTAAGTGCAGTGCAGAGAAACAGTAGTTAGCTTTGCAAATCGGACTAACACCTCCCCAATCCCAACACCGCCCAGTTTGAATTACTTCAATAATTAATTACACTGGATTGAAAATTTCTGCAGATCCCCCATCCTGCACCCCCAGATGCTCGGAAAAAAATTTTTAATGAATCTATATCCCAACATTCTGGCACAAGATGCCAACTGAACTAAATTTAAGTGGTATTTTTAGCTTTATTACCCAGTATAATTTTTGCAAAAGTTCAATTTTTCGGATGTTACAGGGAAAAGGGATGAAATGTAAGTTGGGTCTGTTACTAAAAAAGTTTCTTTTTATAGCATGGCAAAACATCACCATTCAGGTTGAAAGTGAAGTAACCAAGCATTTGGATGTGTATCTAGACCTGACAACCTCAATTAACATTTACCCACATTCATGTGACTGTCAACACAAAAACAAGTTTAGAGAGTTTGAAACATTTGTAAGCCAAAGCATGAGGCTTGGATGACCACACCGGACTGTGGTACAGCAGACACCAAGGCTTGTAGTTTGGTTTTTTTTCATTACATGGAGAAATAAGATACATTTTTTTTTTAAAATAGCATATTCAGACCTTGAAACCGTCATTTTACTGGAGAGCAGAACTGGTTCTCCATTTTGCAAACCATACGTGGTGTGAAAAACAAAAACAGGCAGGAGCATGTTGCTGAGTCCTCTTTACCTGTCTCTCCCAAATTTAGCTGAATCTGACCCATTTCCAATTTAACTGTGTTACTCTGCGCTAAGAAATCAAAGCACTGAGAAATCAAAGCAAGCCAAGGTAATATAATGCTGCAATAAATTACTAGTCATCAGAAGTGACATTACTCTCTGTACATGCAGGTGCCACAGGTACAATCCAGAAGAGCACATCCCGAGGGGGGGCAGATGCAAAGCTAACTTTGGAGGCTGGGTTTTGCCTCCAAATTCTCATGGGTTTGTTTCTGCTGAGCACCAGGCTGAACCCATCCCACTAGAAAAAGAGGGTCCTGGCTGCATGCATGCATGCCCTTATGCATCCAGCACCCTGAGGTGTTTCTCCTCTCCCCTAGCAATTACGATTTTAGAGAAACAGATTCATCTCTGTGACTCTGCATTGGTTTTATTCTTAGCCTAAGGAATAAGCATTAAAAAAAATTGCTTTGCATAAATCTACTGTAGTAAGGCTCTTATTTCACTTCCAGGTCAGTTTTTTCCAAAACCACTAAGCATCAAATGCAGAAGAGAAACCGTGAGAGCACAGCGTTTTGAGACAAAACAGAGAGTGAGAGTGATGGCCTTCAGAACAGATCATCTCCTGTGGTTAAAGTACCTACAGCATTTCCAGCCACACGGCGCTTGCCTGAGCGGCACCCGAAACCACGGACGGCCTCCCACGGACGGCTACGGAAGAACATGCGGACACAGGGAGAGCTGCGAGGGGAGCAGATACGAAAAAAAGCAGCTCAGAGAAAGATGCAAGAGGAACGCAGAAACAGAAACAAAAACAATGAAAGCGGGGAGGAAGAGTAGCAGAAGAGGAAGCAGAGATGTGCAGTGGAAATGAGCTCTTCTCACTCCTCCCTTCAGTCTCGGGAGTCACAGACCAAACCCGACCACATGGTTTTATTTTCTACATTGGGGAAAGCCGATGCAACCAGTTACAGCGACAAGTAGCTTCACAGAAGTGAGGTGGGTGTGGGTTTTTTGTTGCTTGGTGTTTTTAAGATGTCTTTAAAATGCATGACAGTCCAAGTGAAGAAACCAGAAGGCAAAGATGCCACTTGCGTTAGCACAACGAAGCTAAACCGGCAGAGGGAGGGAGCACAGTCAGTACCAACAGACACCTTAACATTGCCCAGGTCTCACACAGCCCGCCTCCACACTGCAACGCTGCGCAAAATACTCGCTAATGCAGTCGGGATGTCCACGGCCCGGGAGAAGGTGGGGAGCTGGTACCTTTCATTGCCCGGCTGGAACTCAGAGAGCAGGGACGGCCTCCGCCGCTGCGGCTGCATGATAGACCCCGGCGGGAGGTGGGAAGCGAAATCCCTGGAATGATGCTGGTACTCCAACAGCGCGACGTCCTGCAGAAAGAAACACAGAAGAGCTCGTTAGGCTGGTGGCAACTCGTAAACAAGCACTGAACCCTGACAACTCGGAAGAAACCATCCGGATACTCCTTCTTTAAAGCACTGGGTGCTGGACCACAAAGCTCAGTGCTTTTCCCCCCTAGAAATGTTCCCAGTAAGGCCCAGTCCCACACTGCACTGGGATGGTAGTTCAGTCCCCAGTCCAACCTGCCTCCAGCCTTTTACTGGGGCTGCCCGCAGGCTGGCTCCTGGGATGGGACCTCAGCAAGCTCAACCCAGCCACGCAGCACACACACTGGGGGGTTTGGCATCCGAGCAGTCCTGATGACAACTTCAAATCCAAGAGGAAGAACAGGCAAGAAGAAAATTAAAAAAAAAAAATTAAAAAAATCACAGGATACTTTCAGCTTCAATAATCTACGCAGCAGTATGGAGAAAGAAAAAAGGAAAAAAAAAGGAAATAAGAGAAATCACAAATGTTATCTTGAGAGTGTCCTTTTAAACACAGCTCCCCTGGGCTGAGCTCAAAGGGTTTGAAGGGACAGTTTGCTACTTATTACATGTACATCTCTTTTGTTCCTTGACCCTTGGAGAGTATAGTATGTTCCCAATTTTAATTAAATAAGAAGTCCTTCTGCTCTGTGCCACAAACTGATTCCAGCAGCAGTATTTTAGCAGCTATATTCAACTGCTATTTTTTTATTTGCAGATAGATACTTGACCAGAAGACTAATCATCTAATTAACTAAGACCTTCAGCAATGGCACAGAAAGCCCTGTCACAGAATATCCCCGGTAACACTGACACACATTTATGTTAGAAGAACCAGTCCCACCTGGGAGTCTATTTTGAACAGTTCTCAACTGGAACAAAAAAGATCCAACTCCCTCAAAAAGAAAAAAAGAAATTTCAGAGTCTAAAAAAAAAAAACCAAATCAATAAATGAAATACCACATGCATGGTGTTGGGGATGTGGACAGGCAACTCCCAGCCCTAACAGCTGCCACAGAAATTATTTGATGAGATGTAGTGAAGGTTGACATGCTCCAGCAATAGGGAAGCTGAAAAAGTGCCCCGGCAAGGTGCACGGCAGGCAAAGAAAGGATTTGGGAGCTTAAACAGCCACAACCTGCACCTGCAGACCCCCTCTCCCAAGGTGTCAGTGAACAGAGCAGCCCAGCACTGGATGCCATGCTCTCCTCCAGTCAGCTGCAAAGGAGAAGGGAACATCAAAGCCCAACATCTTTGGCCACCAGAGGGTAAAACAAGATGTTTCCATGGTAGCTTTCTGGAAAGCTGGGAAGAAAACCAGAAACTGTAAGCACTCAGTCCAGGGGAGCCAAGAAAACCAGATCCCCTATCCCACCTTCAGGTGCTCTCGCACAAAAGTTGAAAAGGCCAAATATCGCATGGAGGAGGCGGGAGAACAGTGGTGTCTGATGGCCACCAGTTCTCCCTGTGCCTAGAAAGGTACACCAGTTTTTGGAATCTGGTTCGTTTCTCCCCAGCATCAGGCAATAGTGTGGTGCTGCTCCTTCTCTGTTCCAACCGACCCTGGGAAATACCAGGAACCAGGGGCCTCTGCCAGCCCCAAACTCCTGGTCTCCACCTCCGGCCTGGCCATCTTGGACCTCAGCCTCTGGGGCAAGCGGTGCCTTCAGCCACATCCTTGCGACATAAGGAGGACATTACTGGCACAGCATCTGCTCATCCTCACAGGGATGTTCCATTTCTGCCGTAAATCCAGGCGTTAAGGGAGGACGCTACCCCGCGATGCTGCTTTTCCTTCGGCTCCAGTGTCCATCCATGCGGGACAGCGTCGGGGGCTGCTGGACAGAATACGCCATCGGTCCAACCACAGATGGGACAAACTCAGTCATCTGGAGTGAAGGAGCCTGTTAGCTCTTGCAGTCCCAGCCAAAGCACAATCTCTGCCTACAACGAGATTCCCCATGTTCACACTCATCCTGGTTTTAAATAAAAAAATAAAAAAAAAAAAGAAAAAAAAAAAAGCGGTGCAAGTCTACAGCACCTGCTTTCAGTGAAAAAAAAAAAGGGGGAAGAAATTTTGTCACAAAGGAAGGAAAAAAGTAAAGGTACCTTGTGAGTCCCAGCAGCCCTGCTCCCCACCGATACCCTTGCATCAAGAAGGAACAATCTGCACAACCACTGAAAGGGAGCACACTCTCTCCCATACCAG